AGGAACTTAGTTGTAGTGCAGGTTATTACAACCACCAGTTTTATAACCTTCAGCAAGTCTTTTAACCTTGGTACCTGTCCTGAATAACTTATAGGACTGCTCTAGAATTCAGTTAGATTATGAACACAAAAATACTCTGACAACCATAAAACACTACACAAAAGTAAAAGAGTATTATGTTATTATACTGTGTTTATGGGACCCTGGATAAACACAAATATCAATTCAAAAAATTCATGCCAGATGAGAGGCGAGGGGGACGGGGAAATGATGGCCAAAGAGTACAAAGTTTCAGTTAGTCAATAAGTTCAAGAGATCTACTGTAGGAGATGGTGACAATAGTTGATAATAAGGTACTGTACACTTGAAAACTGCTAAGGGAGTAGATTTTAAATGTTCTCACCACAAAAAAATGCCAGGTATGGGAGGTGATGGATATGTTGACTTAATTGTTTTACAATGTACACATATATCAAAACATCATGCTGTATACCATAAATAAATACAATTACTATCAATAAAAATACATTTTTTAAAATAAAATTTTAAAAGAAAATTCGTTATTAGAAATAAAGGACCTAATTCTTAAAATGCCTATTAATTAGGAAATACCGATTATCTAGGAAGAAGAATATATCCCAAGAGTTGGCATCTCAAATCCCTCCTCCCCTATATCCAATCACTCCCCAAGTCCTTTGAGTCTTTTCTACAACCCCCACATATGTCCCTTTCTTTCCATTACTACTTCAAAATCCCATGTCAGACCTTTATTATCTCACACCTGGGCTTCTACAACAGCCTCTAACAGGCCCCACTCATGGCTTCTCTTTCCCTTCCTCAAATCCCTCTGGCTCACAGCTACTAACTAGATCAATTTTCTTAAAACACCACTGTGATCATTTCTGCTCAAAACCTCTGAGGACTCTCCATTACCTTCTCCATCGAGTTCAAACTGCTAAGCTCTGTAGTCCCTGTTCAACTCTAGCTGCCTCTTCACCATTTTTTTTTTATTTATTTATTTTTGAGACAGGGTCTCGCTCTGTGGCCTTGGCTAGAGTACAGTGGTGTCATCATAACTGCAACCTCAAACTCCTGGGCTCAAATGATCCTCCCACCTCAGCCTCCAGAGTAGCTGGGACTACAGGCACACTCTACCATGAAGGCTACTTTTTCTATTTTTTGTAGAGATGGGGTCTCTACTCTTGCCCATGCTGGTCTTTAACTCCTGGCTCAAGCAATCCTCCCACCTAGGCTTCCCAAAGTGCTAGAATTATAGGTGTGAGCCATTTTGCCCTGCCCTTTCTCACCTTTATTGCTTACTATTCTCCCAAACAAATCCTTCCTCAAACTGATCTATTTAATTTCTTCAGATATGCCTTGCACTTTTCTGCCTTCTAAGTCTTAGTGCACCCACCTTCTTTGCACCTCTAATACTTTCCTCATTACAGCTGCTATCTTGGCCTGTAAAAATTCAATCCATCCTTCAAGAACTAGTTTGTGAGCCACCTACTATGTATACTACTTGATCGCCAAGGAGATCCAAGGCAGATCGCCAAGGCAGATTCCAAAGTTAGGCACATCTGGGTTTCACTTACAACTCCAACCATTTACTGGCAGAGTGACACTGGGCACATTCCTTAATATCTCTTTGCCTCAGTTTCTTCATTTGTAAGATGGGGATAAGAGCAACTTCCCTTAGAAAAATTGTGAGGAGTAAATGAGTTAATTCACATAAAGTACTTAGCATGATGCCTGGCACAGACGCGGAACCAAAAGATGTTAAATATTGTTATTACTCTTATTATTACCATTGCCATGAGAGAATTTATCTTAATCTGAATTCGGACAATACTTACAGCCATTACAAACTGGCTCTTCAGGTACATATGGTATCATTACCCTCACTCTCCTTTTCTACCCTCTCACCTAATGTTTCTTCTTCCTCCACTGTCCCCTGCCCCCAGATTATATGACAGGTCAATGTCTTATACATCTTAGTATCTACAATGGCTATTCACAACTAGTAGATTGTTAAATGCCTAATGAAATAATACTAAAAAGCTGACAGTATTAAAATGTCCTGTATCCTCTAGTGGGAAAGTATAACAGAATGCTTAAAGTAATTAATTTAAATTTCTAGCCTCACAAAATTAAATCTCTTCTTTCATAGTTCTCTAGATTCTTTTTGCTCACTCTCTCTCTTTTAAAATAAACAACCCCACCTATTCATACAGCAAGAGATGCAGCAATAAAATACATGGAAGTCAGAGAGCAGCTAAACACTGGAGATAAGGACCATGAGACAACTTGGCTGAACACAACTCTGGATGGAGTCAAATAGGAAGACAATTTAAAAGGAAAGGAAAGGTAATTAGCCTATCAGTTATGTTAACGATGCTGTGTATATTCACCAGCCCCAAGATTCCTTCGTATATAATATATGGGCCAAGTATAAACAACTGAAATAACCAGGCTAGTAGATATGGAATACCATTTAGCTTAACAACTGAACTTACTACACAGTCAGTTTAATCACGTATATCGATAGTGACTGTTGGCCAGGCACAGTAGCACACGCCTATAATCTTAACCTACCTTTGGGAAGGTAAGGTGGGAGAATCACCTGAGGCCAGGAGTTCAAGACCAGCCTGAGCAAAAGTGAGACACCCCCCCTTCTTTCTACAAAAAATAGAAAAAAGAAATTAGCTGGGCATGTTGTCCCAGCTACTTGGGGGACTAAGGCAGGAGGATCACTGAAGCCCAGGAGTTTGATCAAGGTTGCAGAGAGTTAGGATCATGCCACTGTATTCTACCCCAGGAGAGAGCAAGACCCTGTCTCAAAAAAAAAAAAAGTGATGATTAACATAACTCAAGATTCTAGAGTAATGCAAGTTTTGGCTAATGAAGTCATACCAAGTAGATATGGCCTTATTGTATACTAATCATTCACTTCAAGAAAATTAGTATGATAAATGGCCAACAGGTATATGAAAAAATGCTCAACATCACTAATCATCAGAGAAATGCAAATCAAAACCACAACGTAATTATCATCTCACTCCAGTTAAAATGGCTTATAACAAAAAGACAGGCAAAAAGATGCTGGCAAGGATATAGAGAAAGGGGAATCCTTGTACACCGTTGGAAAGAATATAAATTAGTATAGTCATTATGGAGAAAAGTATGGAGGCTCCTCAAAAAACAAAAAATATGATCCAGCAATTCCACTACTGGGTATATATTCAAAAGAAAGGAAATCAATATATCAAAGAGATTATCTGCACTCCCATGTTTATTGCAGCACTACTCACAATAGCCAAAATATGGAATCAACCTAAGTGTCCATCAACAGATGAGTGGATAAAGAAAATGTGGTATATATACACAGTGGAATATTAGCCATAAAAAGGAATGAAAGAACAAAAGCCTGTCATTTGCAGCAACATGGATGGAATTGGAGGCCATCATGTTAAGTGGAATAAGCCCACAGAAAAAGACAAATGTCACATGTTCTCACTCATATGTGGGAGCTAAAAGAGTGGCTCTCATGAAGACAGACAGTGGATTGGTGGTTACCAATAAGGGGGGGGAGGGAGAATGAAGGGGAAAAAATAATATAAATATATTTATTACTACTGAATTCTACACCTAAAAATGTTAAAGATGGGGCTAGGCACAGTGGTTCATGCCTCTAATCCCAGCACTTTGAGAGGCCAACGCAGGAGGATTGCTTGAGACTAGGAGTTCAAGACTAGCCTGGGCAACATAGACTCCATCTCTACAAAAAAATAGAAAAATTAGCCAGGCATGGTGCCATGTGCCTGTAGTCCCAGCTACTCAGGAGACAGAGGTAGGCGGATCTCCTGAACACAGGCGTTCCAGGCTACAGTTAGCTATAATGGCACCACTGCACTCCAGCCTGGGCAGACAGAGCGAGGTCCTTGTCTCTAAGAAATAAATTAATTAAAATAAAGTTGGGGCCGGGCGCTGTGGCTCACGCCTGTAATCCTAGCTCTTGGGAGGCCGAGGCGGGCGGATTGCTCAAGGTCAGGAGTTCAAAACCAGCCTGAGCAAGAGCGAGACCCCGTCTCTACTATAAATAGAAAGAAATTAATTGGCCAACTGATATATATATGAAAAATTAGCCGGGCATGGTGGCACATGCCTGTAGTCCCAGCTACTCGGGAGGCTGAGGCAGAAGGATCACTCGAGCCCAGGAGTTTGAGGTTGCTGTGAGCTAGGCTAACGCCACGGCACTCACTCTAGCCTGGACAACAAAGCGAGACTCTGTCTCAAAAAAAAAAAAAATAAAGTTGGCATGAAGACAACTTGATATACATATATTATTACTATCACAGAATAAACTGTTTTCAACAATGCCCAGGGAAAATAATGTTACTATAATACTGATTTTTAGTTTGCTGGCATGACTCTACTAACCTTCAATTATTTTCTCAGCCAAAATCAGACCTGGTAACCACAAACCAAAGAGTTTACTAGTGGAATTAATTATTAATAAGATGGTTTGATGGTATGTTAATGACTTTCCAAAGACTAGAATAAGAAAACTAAGCATAAGAATAAACTACATTAAATTTCTATACCTATGATACTTGTCTTCAGAGGATCTTGAAATGTTTTACCAGCTTTGAATTACTTTATTCTCAAATTACAGAATCTTAAAGACTCAGAAAGAGCCTTACAAGTCCCCCATTGCAAGAATCCTTTATACCACCTCCCAGGCACAAGGTCCTCCAGCCTTTGCTTGAATACTTTCAGCAATGGGCACTATTTTGCAAGGCAGTGTACTCCATTGTTGATTCTTCCTTACAATCACTGGAAATCTGCCTCCCTGAACTTCTACCTAAGGATCCTAGTTCTGCTCTCTGAAACCACACAAGATAAGTTAACCTCTGAAATATAACCACTTCTTGAATTATGACATAGTTGTCAATTTGGGCACACAAAATGTAAAAGCTCAGAAAAGAAGAAACCACCACTATACCCAACAAAATTTTGAAATTCAGGAAACTATATTGAAATCGCAAGCCAACATGTTTTCAGTATCAAAGCTCACACCTCAGTTAACATATAAATATTAAGAGTAACCTGATTTCTTTTAAGTAGAAATTGACATTGTTTACTGAATACCTTTTTTGCAACTTGATACCACTAAATTCACAAGTTTAAAAAATTACAATTCTGTAGGAAGTTCAAGATGGTTTTCCCAATTGCTCATGTTTCCATTCAGTCTATTTCTCTTTAAAACATCTGGATGTTTGTTTTTTAAAGCCCATTTTGTAATATTTTATTTTAAAAATGATTTTCAAAAATGAAGCCTAAGAGAACGGAGTGTAAAGGAGTGGGGGTGGGGCGAGGAGAGAAGGCAAAGATGGGCCCGGCAGGGAAAGGCTGGTCACTGGGTATTTTCCTTCTGGAAGCATGCTTTATTGGCAAAGGCATCTGAAGTAACGAGCCATACAAACACGACCCAAGAACGAGAACGATCACGAGTAATGAGTGGTAAGGCATAAATGTCTAAGATGGAAATGAATTGGCACTGATCATCAAGCAGCACCAGATGCTTCGAGACCTCGTAGAGGAAAGGTGAGAGGTCCAAGAAACAGAGGAGACCGCTGCCACCCTTCACGGAAGGGAAGAAACCAAGCAGTAACTACCGTTCAGCTGTCCAAAGAAGCCTGAACGGTACAGAGCACAAGAAAGCCAGCAAGTGACTGGGGGAAAGGCACACACCCTGGCGAGTCCGAAGACGGGTGTGCAGTGTGCAAATACTACACGGGTCCATGAAATGGTCTGGGTAAGGGGATGTGGGTGTGGGTAAGGGGCTACCGCAGGCGTCTCACGGTCCCCTCCCTGCAGCAGAGCAACAGAGGGTAAAAGAAGGGGGAGGGTGAAAAGCAAGAATGACTCATTACCAAAAGGAAGTGCTCAAGCCATAGGAAGGCATGCCACAGGGGATTTCAGGGCGAGGACTGTGAGGAGCTAGGTGCTCAGGGTGATAGGGGCAAAACCCAACGTCCTGTAGTTCCTGCTGCTTGTCTTTAAGATGGGGGTGTGGGGGGGTTCGCGGCAGCTGAGCGCCAAGGCCTGGGAAGCGGCGCGGCGCGTGCGCAGTGGCGTTCGGCGGGACCCGCTGAGGCAAAGCGGAGCCGCAGTGACAGAAGCAAGCACAGCGGCCGTCAGGAGGGACTCACCGAGGCGCAGGGGCTGGAGGTGGTGCTGGGGGTAGGCGACCGCTGGACCGTGACCAAAGCCATCTAGGCGCTGCTGGGTTGTTCCGGGCAGGGCATTCTCGTCCTGAGTGTGGGGGACGGGAGGGTGACGGAGCCGGGATGGGGAAAGGGATGCAGGGTAGGGGTGAAGGGGGGACGGGGAGCAGGAAGAGGACGCGGGAACAGCCGCAGGCTCAGCACCCACCACCGGACTCTCGCGGACTGACGCGCCGAACAGGCGGCGGGCGGGCTGGCGGGCGGTTCGGCAGCTGCGGGGCACAATGAGTGCTCCCAGTGCGCAGGCGCCACCTGTCAGCAACCGCCTCTCCCCTCGGCGCGCGCCGCCGCCTCGTCGTAACCCTTGAGTTGCCGGAAGCCGGCCGACTGCGTGCGCCTCAGGCCGCCGCCCCCTCCCGGGTTTCCTCCTTGGCGCTGCAGTCGCGCCGTTTGCGCGCGAGGGGTGCGGTGGAGTGGGGCTGGGGCGGAGGCGGGGGCCGGGAGGAGCCAGCCGCGTGAGGGGTCCCAGGGCTGAGTGCCGCGGGAATCCTCACTCTTGTGAGACAACCATTTTGTGAGGTGGGGCGCCCGGCTTAACCAACCTCAGAGGAAAAAAACTGAGCTGGAAATCCTAAAGCAAACACGTTTTCTGGTGGCGAAGGGCTTTACGGAGTTTCAAACGCTTTCACTGGGCGTGGATGGGTCTGGGCTAGACCTAGAGACCAGTTTGCCCTCCTTTGACCCGGGTCTCGGGGGCTTGTTCTGAGCTTTTCCCACCCTTCCGGCTATGTTTTATGATAAGACTTCTTGAAAGAAAGAACAATTTTCAGTTTTATACCTAGGAAAGCTTCATGGTACCCTCATACTTCCTCTATTACTTAGGTAAAGACTCATTCATTATTCCTGAGATGAAGAGAAGCTGAGTGAGCCTGGGAGTCCGAGAAAGCTGGGCTCACAGAGTTGTAAGGGTCCAACCTGCTATTTACCTCCCACTTGCTTCCTGCTGTGAAGAAATGCTTTTAATTAAACAGGATTTGCTCGTTGAGCTTTCTTCTCCTTCGGTCTCTTAAGTTTCTTTATTTTATAGACATATGGAAAAATGTAGATTAAAAAATATTTTAAGGGAATAATTTTCTAAAAGGTAAACTGTTAGCAGAACATAAGCCAATGAATGTAATGAAAAATCAAGATTAAAAAGGAAAAAAAAATCGCACAATGTAAATACCATTGATTATTTACACAGAGAAAGAGAGCTATTTCTCAATTTGAGTGGATGAGCTGGTAAATACCATCATACATATCAAAGCTGTAGAAAACACACACAGGAGTTTGCAGTTATTGAAACCCACCTCCTCCTGTTTGTCACTCAAACACTCTTGGATCTCATTGCTCCTTTTAAACTGACAGGGCCATCGTGAGCTCTTTCTGGCTGCTGTACGGTTAAGTGCCACAAGAGCCCTCTGTGCTGAGCCTTTGTTCTCTCCCTGGGGCCCTGTGGTTGAAATAATTAGCAGGGAGGTTCCATCAAGAATCAGACTCTGAGGGTCCCTGTACTGTACAGTCCTATGCAGTGTATTGCAGAGAAGCCAGCTGGTAGGCTTTTGCCCCCTGGTGGTGATCAAAGGTGCCTTGGAGACAAAATTAAACAAAGATGTATGGTTCACAGATTAAACAATCTGACTGTGTTTTTCCCAGAGCTACTTAGTAAACAGGAAAAGAGAAGGCAAGGTTCAGAAGTAAGAACTTTGAACCAATGCATGAGACAAAACAGGAAGCTATATACAAAGCCAAGAAATATACATAGCTGAAAGCTGAATGAACTAAGTAATGTAGTATGTGTGGTTTATGAACCAAAGTATCATTCTAGAAAAAGTATTTTTCAAATCCATAGGCCTTAGTAATATACTTGCATATTGATTCTCTTACTGACTCAGGGATGGCAACACTGATTACCTACTTTTGTGTAGTAACAGACTCAAGAAATTCTTTTGGAAGATGAGAGGGTTAAATCCATTGACCTTACAGTTGGAAGAGCACTACTGTAGGAGTCAGAAGACCTGGTTTCTAGTTCCTGCTCTGTAAAACCTCAGGAAAATGGCTTGACCTTTTTCGACTTTAGTTCCTCCTTCTCGACAATGGAACCCTAACTTACAGGATTTTTGAAATAAGGTATGTAAGATGCAGTATAAACTGTAAAGCCTGTATGTAATTAAAATAACTTTCTTATTCCCTAAGGTTTGTTCCAAGTTCAGTTAGCTTTTGTTGAGTATACCCTATGTGCAGAAAATAGATTCAAGAAAAAAAGGGATAAAATAACAAAAAGATATGATCCATGCCTTTTCTTAATAGTAGGAGAAGTAGATTAGTGTAAGTGTAGAACATTTTTGTTCCAAGTGATAAAATCCCAGTCAAAATTGGATTGTAAGGTACCCAAATTCACATTCAGTTTGTATCAGGAAATTAATTTATTAATTTGCAGGATAAATATCTCTTCCTGGTATGTTACCTTTTCAGTAAACTATGATTTAGAAATGGGATGTATGTTCATTAATTTATTTACCTTTAATTGAGAAAATATTTATTGAGTATGTATTATAAACTAGAAACTATTTTAAGAACAAAATAAATGTTTACCTATTAGGGGCTCATAGCCTATTAGCAGGGAAAAGCACATCAACAAATAATTACAAGTGTTACAGTTCTTTTAGAATTTGTCTAGCAGGTTTTCCAGTCCTTACTGGAAGACCCCATAAAAAACAAAAACAAAAAAACAAATAATTACAGTATAATTTAGTGGTATCATGGCTTCTGTCATTTATGCTAGGCCCCAAAGGATATATATACTACGTATATATAATTATATCAGTATATATTAACTATGAATATGAAAAGCTTTGATGCCTACAAAGTTCTATAGAAACACAGAGGAGAAGGTCTGGGCAAATGTACTCTTTATGGTATTGCTTTCAGCCTTTGGCTGAAGATCCCAATATTGTCACTTTGTGAATTGAGCTGGATCACAGTGAGCATTTGAAATCTATGCTCTCTGCCCCATTTATACCTACTCTTTCCTGGGCTCCGCCATGGTTCCTGCTTGGTTTTCTAGTGATCTGAGAGAGTGGGTATCTATTAATTCTTCTAATAGAGTGAAGATCCTAGGATCCTTTTACTGCCCTATCTGAATTTGAGAATAGAGAAGCCAAGAGCAGGATTCTCAAAACAGGAAGCCAAAGAGACAAAAGTCCTCCTATTTTAACACCTTCTCACTTCTCACCTATCATATTGGAGGCCTGGTTGTACCAATGGAATCCATGTAACCCTTAACTTGTATCAGTACTTTTTTGGGGGTGAAATTATAACCCACTCCATGAATAAAAATGCCTTTTTGTAGTTCTCTTATGTTTCAAGTTCCCAGGCCAGGAAGATTTGCTGACCAGACTTTAACTTTCTGTTCTACTGATCCCCTTTTGAGTTATTCCCCCCCCCCCAGAAACAGTGGCGCTTCCTTGCAGCCATCAGATAACTACAAAGCCTTACACCACCTGTTGTCCAAGGAAGACAAGATAAGGGACACCCCACCACAGATTGTGCCCAAGGACCTGCTGAGCAACCTACTCCCCACATCCTGCCTGCACACAAGACTGAAAGAATGACCAATATTAACCCCTATCTCATTATATTATTAAAATCTCCACCCTGGGAGGGACTTGTCCGCCATCTTTTTATCATGCAACATATGTATTAGCATGATTTCTCATTGCGTTTGAGTGCCCTACACTCCACCCTAAACATGTAAAGTTGCTCATACACTTCATGTATTATTCATTTCACCTCTAGAAAAACCCCCAACCCTGCCAATGGGGGACATGGATTTGAGGTAGTCCATTCCTCCCACATCCCCATTGTCATATCCTCCACAATCTCCTTTCTTCCTTGACAATCCTCGTTTTCTCATTAATTGGCTGTCTGTGCAGCAAGCAACAGTGGGAACCTCCCCCCGCTTGTTGTTTTGTTAACAAAATTATAGGGGAACTTGAAATCCCTGAGGTTAGCTAGTTCTTAAGGTTTGAGAATCTGATAAAAATGACTGACCTTTTCTTAGAAAGATGCACTTGTACATTTCACATCCCCACTGAAATCCATCAAGGGATCCCAGGTTAATAATCTTAATTTAAAGGTTAAAGCAATGGTTCTCAACCTTTTTTACACACCGTGACATCTGTAGAAATAATATTTGCACAGTACATTAATAAATTAAAGGAGATTTGGAGACAACTATGTGGAGCATGGTGAAAAAATTCATTTTTGTTACATTACATATTTTTTATGAGAAAAATTAACATATTAAGGTGGCATTAAATATAGAATTTATAAATTTTTTTTTAGTTTCCACACACAGCATTGAATTTTTATAAGTTTTTTTGTGTTTTTTGTTTGTTTGTTTGTTTGTTTACTTTTTTTTAGAGACAGAATCTTGCTCTGTTGCCCAGGCTAGAGTACAGTGGTACAATTGTAGCTCACTGCAGCCTCGAACCCCTGGGGTCAAGCAATCCTCCTCCTTCAGCCTCTAGAGTAGCTGGGACTACAGGCACCAACCACCATGTCCAGCTAAGTTTTCTTCTTATTATTATTATTATATATATGTATTGTTATTGTTTTAGAGATGAGGTCTCACTATGTTGCCTTGGCTGCTCTTGAATTCCTGGCCTCAAGCAATCCTCCCACCTTGGCTTCCTAGAATACTGGAATTGCAAGGATGAGCCAATGAACCTAGCCAGCTGAATTTGTATAAGTTTCTAAATAGAGTCTTCTCAAAACTTTAATGAAAAACCTGAGATTGCTTCTGTAAACATAACATTTTTGAAACAGGGTTTTATGATTGAAATTACCACATGCAGTTCCTGAACAAGAGAGTTTAACAGTTTTTTAACAGAGTTTAACAGAATTTGATCTCTTCAAATTCTTGGTATTCATCATTGAGGAGAACTTAGTTGATACAAGTAGGTGATAGAAATTTTTAAAACAATTTTCACAACAATTGCAAAATTATAAGTATAAATTATATTTGACCCTAATAGCTGTTACTTTTTTCCCATTTGTGAATGTAATGTGGAAATATACTATGATAATGTGACTGGATTTAGAATCCACTCAAATACTTTTCATGTCAAGTATATGTTGCAAAATAATGACAAAGCTCTTATTTGCAGAGTAAGGTTGTGTTATTAGAGCAATAATTCTGCAGCTAACTTGAACATAACTAAAAGAGCACATAAGATATAAACAAAGAGAAGAATTCAATATACATGAAGAGAGCGATTTCAGAGCTGAGTCCATCAGGAGTATTTAGGAGGCCTCACTACCTTTCCTGGCCACACCTGAGGCTATGAGTCCTGTTCCTTTGGTACATGGAATATGTACTCCTCCAGTAGCTCCAAGGCACAGTGTTTATGATGGGCAGCCATATGAACTACAACTGGCTTCTGAAAGTGATACCCTGGTAGTATAATACTCCGTGGCTTTGCTTAGCAAGTCTTTCATTGTGCTTGCCCCTGTAGGACCATGGGGCAAACAGGGGTGGGTCATGAGACCCTGGTTCTTTTGGGTTGCTCTCTGAGAATCCCTAGATCACACTGCTTCTGGCCAGGAGTGAATTACCTGGTGGTACCCACCATTCCAGTTCTTTCAGGCCACTCCTAGAGCTGAATAGATAACTGTCTTGCAGTATATCTATAACTCATTCATTGTACACCAAATGAACTTTGTCACTTAAAAGACCGTAGTTTATATAGCTAAGCTTGTTGAAAGAGAGCAAATAAAAAGAAAGATGGATCCCAAAAAAAGAGAAGAAATCATGGTACTATCCTTGATAATCCAATCCCTTATATTTGTAATTACTTGGGTATAGTTATAAGTATAAATTAACATAGCACAAACAGAATATATAAGAGCTGAGAATGACTGGAGTATAATTGAGTCATGTGTTGTCTTTACATGGTTGTAATTTTTCTTACATTTTATAAAAACCCACACTAACTTCATTTATCTGTCAGCATCCAGACAGGAGATAGAAACCACACCAGTTATTTGCAAAGAGATTTTAACAAAGAATTATTAACTAGATATGAAGTTGTTAAATAAATAAAAAGGTAAAAAGAAACATCTGAGATATCACAGAGATAGCAACTACTACATCATTAGGGATGGGGGAAAAAACCCAAAGGAAGCAAAGGGGAAAACTCAGAAACTTAGAGAAGTAGCCCCACAGAGCTGAAACTCAGGTCACTATGGAGAAGGCACTGCTCAGCTGGTGTTGGTGTCTCTGAACTTAGAGGAGGGGCACCATGGGGTCTGGGATCCAGACCTCTGAGGCAGGAGCACTGGATGGCTGATGTTGATGTTATTGAATAATGAAAACTTCAGGAATACAGAAAAACTACAAACTGGATTTAGCTATTGCTACAAAAAGGAAATCTTGCCACCAGGATGAAGAAGCATTACTAGGTGAAGCACACAAGAAGCAAAAGGCTACAAGAAGCAGTCAGGTAGTAGACAAGAAGAAGCAAGTTCTGGGCCTGGTGGCTCATGCCCGTAGCATGTTGGGAGCCCAAGGTAGGAGGATCCCTTGAAGCCGGGACTGGGCAACATAGCGAGACTTTGTCTCTACAGAAAATTTTAAAAATGCCTGGGCATGGTGGCATGCACCTGTAGTCCTAGGTACTCAGGAGGCTGAAGCAGGGTGATTGCTTTGCTTGAGCCCAGGAGTTTGAGGCTGAATGAGACCCTGTTTCTAAAAAAAAAAGAAGAAGCAGCAGCAAGTCTGTTGTCCTTCCTTCAACAGTGGGTTCTCCCTCTGGAAAACCCAATTAGCAAAGTATGACAGAGTAGCCAGCTGGCAAAGCAAAGAAATATGATTTTCAAAGTCTCAGCTCCAACATTCAAGTAGACTAAAAATGGGTGAGTTTGGAGCTGAGACAGTAATTTAATAACTGGTACTTGATTGATATGGAAAGTGATGCCAGGGATGGAATTTATCTCCCATCCTCTGGTTTGCATATATCTCATAAAGATAGTTAAAGGCCTTGCTAATTCCTGCTCCTCAGATACAATCAACATACTCTCATCAATGTACTAGATAAATGTTATGCTAACTGGGAGGTCAAGATGCTCAATGTCTCTGTAGACTATATTATGACAGAGATCAAGAGAATTGATGTAGCCTTGACACAAGACTATAAAGGAATGTTATTGGCCCTGCCAAGTAAAAGCAAACTGCTTCTGGGTTCCTTGACAATTTATACAGAGAAATAAGCATTTGCTAGGACAATAGCTGCATACCATGTTCCAAGAGCTGTGTCAATTTGCTTCAGTAAAGGTACTACATATGAAAGAGCAGGTGCAAGTGCAGGCATTACCTGGTTAAATTTATAATAATTTATTTGTAACCCTAACAATATTTGTACCTCTATAATATGATGAAATAAAAAAAATTTATAATAATTTACAGTCATTCTCCAAGATCTACCTGCCTTATTCACAGGCCAAACAGGCAAGTTCAATTGACATGAGATAGATTTCATCACCCCTGCTTTTTCAGACTTTTCTTGGTATCATTAATCTCTGCAATCCCTCATTCTCCTACTCCAAGGAAGCAATATTTTTGTTTGCTATCCTGGTATGTAAGGGTGAAAGGAGGGTTTCTAAGGACTTCAACTAGGCCCTTCATACTATAATGGTCCATATTCCAGAAAGAGAGCCAATATGAAGAGTCCTGCCAATTACCAGTATTTGTGTTTTAATTATACATTCAGGATGAAATCATGGCAGGGTGGTTGGTTCTATGGCTCTACTTGCCCCACTGTGATCCAGACTTGAGTTAAGACTCCATCTTTTTTACCTGGCCACCATAAGCCCCCACTTTACCTGGTGAACTGCAGTGGTATTTTGGGTCCCAGGAATTTACATCAATTTAGAACCAGTGTTTAGGTATTCATGAGAAATGTGGATATTTCCCCAGCACACAGTCATTTTAGGAAATGGCCACAGATCTCTGCAGAGAAGACTTGGAGGAAGATTTTTCAGTACATACTAGTGGCAGTGTTGCAGAGTTCTTTCTCAAAGGGAACCAGGCTTCCTTTCAGTTAGAGAACTGGGTGAAAGGTTGGTACTCTCCATTGTGGGGATTAAAGTCATATTTTTGGCCACCATACAGTCATACCTTGGAAGTGCCAAACTGCCACAATAAAGTGAATACCATAATAAAGTGAGTCACATGAAATTTTTGGTTTCTCAGTACATATAAAAGTTATGTTGTTTATACTATATAATAGTCTATTAAGTATGAAATAGCACCATATCTTTAAACATACATACCTTAATTAAAAAATATTTTATGGCTAAAAAATGTTATCGTCTGCACCTTCAGCAAGGCATAATCTTTTTGGTGATAGAGGATCTAACCTCAATGTTGTTGGCTGCTGACTGTTCAGGGTGGTGGTTGCCAAAAGTTGGAGTGACTATGGTATTTCTCTTTAAAATAAAGAAAGAATAAAGTTTGCTGGACCAATTGACTCTTCCTTTCATAAATGATTTCTCTGTAGCCTGTCATGCTGTTTGATAGCATTTTACCCACAGTAGAAATTCTTTCAAAACTGGAGTCAGTCCTCTCAAACCCTGTTGCTTCTTTATCAGCTAAGTTTGTGCAATCTTCTAAATCCTTTGTTGTCATTTCAACAGTGTGCACAGTGTCTTTACCAGGAGTGGATTCCATCTCAAGAAACCACTTTCTTTGCCCATCCATAAGAAGCAACTCCTCATCTGTTCAGGTGTTATCATGAGATTCCAGCAATTCAGTCACATCTCAGGCTCCACTTCTAGTTCTCTTGCTCTTTTTACCACATCAGCAGCTACTTCCTCCACTGAAGTCCTGAAGTCTTCAAAGTCATCTATGAGAGTTGGAATCAACTTCTTCCAAACTCCTGCTAAATGTTGATATTTTGACCTCCTCCTATGAATCATGAATGTTATTAATGACATCTAGAATGGTGAGTCCTTTCCAAAAGGTTTTCAATTTACTTTGCCCAGATCCATCAGAGGAATCACTAGCTATGGCAGCTATAGCCTTACAAAATATATTTCTTAAATAATAAGACTTGAAAATTGAAATTAGTTCTTGATCTATGGGCTGCAGAATGGGTATTATGTTAGCAGGGATGGGAACAGCATTAATCACTTGTACATCTCCAGCAGAACTCTTGGGTGACCAGGTGCATTGTCAATGAACAGTAATATTTTGAAAAGAATCTTTTTTTCTTTTCTGAGCAATAGGTCTCAACAATGGGCTTAAAATATTCAGTAAACCATGCTGTAAATAGATGTATTGTCATCCAGGCTTTGCTATTCCACTGATAGAGCATGGAAAGAGCAGATTTAGCATAATTCTTAAGGGCCCTAGGATTTTCAGAATGGTAAATAAGTATTAGTTTCAACTTAAAGTCACCAGCT